GAGAGTGACCATGTCATATTGGAATTCAATATAATGCAAACACAAGCAATAGAACATAATCCACCCAGTGTTTTAAAATTCAAAAGAGCTGATTTTTTAAAAAAAATTTATTCCTTTTTCACTATACAACAAAAATAATTTTTAATGAAGCTGATTTTTAATGAAGAGAGAGTGTAAGAAAAATTCCATGATGAAAATCCTAAAGGGGAAAACAACTCAAGAAGTGTGGGAAACTTTGAAAAATATGATCATAAAAGCCCACTCCAGCACAATACCATTGAAAAAGAAAAACAAGAAATCCAAAAGGAAACCAGCATGGCTGCACAAAGATCTCTTTGATAAACTGAAAGACAAAAAGGACAAGTACAAAAAATGGAAAGAGGGACACATAACTAAGGCAAAGTATCAGCAGATAGCCCGAATCTGCAAAGATGAAGTCAGGAAAGAAAGGCTCAGAATGAACAAAGACTTTTAACAAAAGTCAAAGATAATAAAAAAAGGTTTCTTACAACAGTAAGCAACAGTAGATCCACTTAAGAGAGAAGATGGCAAAGAAATAGCAGGCAGCAGAGAGAAAGCAGAAGAGATTAGGTGAAACCTGGCTCATAAACAGTAACTGTGAGAGGGACCTTGGAGTCCTAGTGGATCAGTGGTTCTCAACCTGTGGGTCAGGAGCCCATTTGGGGTTGATCGACCATTTCATGGGGGTCGCCAAGCAAGGCTGTCCGCCATATTTTTGGCCGCCATTTTTTTTGTCCGCCATTTTTTCCCCCTTTTCCGGCGGGTGCCTTACCTCCCTTGGGCTGGGCCAGCTGGTGGTCGGCCTGCTCCGTCTCTGACGCTTGCCAGCAACGCCTCAGCCGGCGCAGGGGGCGGAACCACGCATGTGCGGCGCTCCCGGGCAGGGAAAGTCCTCGACTTACGACCGGTTGGGTAGTCCTCGACTTACGACCGGTTTAGTCCTCGACTTACGACCGGTTTAGTCCTCGACTTACGACCGGTTGGGGTCGCGGCATTAAAAAGGTTGAGAACCACTGTAGTGGATGATCACTTAAATATGAGCCAGCAGTGTGAGGCAGCAGCCAAAAAAGCTAATACAGTCCTTGGTTGTATAAACAGAGGCATAGAATCAAAATCATGTGAAGTATTAATACCGCTTTATAAAGCCTTAGTAAGGCCTTATATCCAGCTGATTCATTAGTAAAGTCACAGCTTCCTTCAACTATGTATGGCAAGGGCTGGCAACCAAAGGCCCTGGAATATATCACTGCAGCTCCCAAAAATTTCCAACATTGCTGCTGAAATCTAGCACAATCTTAGGGGTATCTGCATCATCAAATTTATTTATTTATGTAAATAAAGATGTAAAATTGTGACTCCTTCACCTCAGAGACATTGTTGTTTTACCATAGTGTGTGGAGGGGGGGGCAAGAAATGCAGTCTTCAATTACAAAAAGGTAATCTATTACTGGCATGAAACCTAGTTTACATTAGCCTTTCTTCATAGGCTGATGAGCAGAAGGATGGCCAAAGAATGACCGAATTTCTCCCACAGAGAAAACCTGCCTAAGGTCAGAAATGTATACAGTTAAGATCCTCAGTATAATGAGGCTGCAGAAAAAAACAAAACAAAACCTGAAAAGCATAAAGAATGTGTTATGAAATAACTGCATAATTTTTAATCCTTCTTGGCAGGAAATTTAAGAAAGACTGGGATTAATGAACAAATTCAAAAACAAGTTAAAAGGAAACCAGGCTTAAGAGTTCAGCTCTTCTCTCCCAGGGATGGGCCCTCAGCTGTCTGAACAAACAAATATGTTTTCCTCTCCTGAGACACTATTTAAAAACACTGTAAAACTCATCTATGTATGTCTTTTTCCCCTCCCCCAATTTTCATACAAATTAACATTTTCCAGATGTTTAAAAGGATGTTTTTTGCACCTAGAATCCAAACATGACAGTCCATAAATACTTTTTAAGAAATATTTTCCTTCAAAATTCCACAGTTTTCTTCCACTCAAGGCGACATACTGTAACTCAGAGCAGTATAATTTTTATTTCTTCCCTGTTCCCTCCAATTTTTTTTTAAATAACTGAATTGTAGAGCAAAAACGAGTAAGTATCCTTTGAAAAAGGGAAAGCTACACATTTTGAACGTATACCCAGCCCTGCAGGGAAAAATAGTAGGGAAACTTTCTCACTCCCCAAAGTAATGTTATCTATCAAAATGAAGATGAATGATTTATTTTCCTAGATTGTTTCGATGTAAATATAAAGTGAGGGAAAAAATAAGGAAATGTATGTATACTAAAGCAGAGCTGGCCCAGCAATGAGAAATATTTTTGACAGGCCACAAAGCAGCTGAAAAAACTTTAGACAGCTGAAGATGCCACTTGTCACATTCCACTGATCAAGTCCCAGCTAATGTGTTCCTTCAGTTCCTGCTGCGAAAGGTTATTTTATCCCACATAACACAAACAAGGAGTGGGTTGGTATCGAACCAACACAAGCAAAAATCCTATGATTATTTTTTGTTGTTTCCATCCAAAAACAACAAATACCACCACTTTCTCAGTCAGCTTTCCATAGATGTGAAGTTCAAAGGGCCACATCTCTGCACATTTAAAATGAATAGGCAAAGTTTAGGAAGAGCATCCTTCCCCCCAGACTGGTGAACTTCAGTTGTGTTAGAATGTAACTTACAGAATTGCAAAAGATCACAGCAGTTAATGTTGGCTTCAAATTCTGAGCAGCCCTTCAACAGTGGATGCCAAGTCAAGGAAGGCTGATGTCAGTACTCATTTTATATCTTCATTAGATGCTAATTGGGGTTACTAAGAAAATAACTAAAATTATATTTTGTTAAGCTTGCCTCTTTAAAAAAAATTATAAGATTTTTTATAATGTTTGCAATATTTTACCTGTCTGTCGCTCAGGATCGCTCTGTGAGGGAGATGGACAATTTTTAAAAATTTGATAAATAAATAAAGAAAATAAAGAAATACCAACCATGGTCTCTGTAGAGAAAAATCTACACAGAATGAAACTCCATTGCTCTCATACATATGAAACATCTGATGGGATTTTCATCCATCCTGATACCAATTGTATAAATGCCCCAACCATTTGCTCCTCTGCATGGTGTGGAGCTCTAGAGGAAAGCAATCTAAACATGTCATCAGGTTACTGCCTAAATTCAAACTGACTTTTACAGCATAGGTTTCCAATAGCAACAACTTTTCTCACTTCCTTGCAGAAAGTTAGGCTTGCAAAGCCCTCTTTTAAGAAATATTAGCTGTTTTGTTTTAAGAAGCATCATTGGTCTTTTCAGATTCCCCCCCCCTCAAGTTATTTCCTGGTTAACATTACTCACTATGTAGCCCAGACATGTAAAACACAAGGCCTGGGGGCCGGATGCGGCCCGCGAAGTGGTTTCATGTGGCCCGCGAAGCCATCCTGGAAACAGTGAGGGAACGGCCCCCGCTGCCTTGGCCCTGGCCCACACCAGCCGGGAGCCAATGTACAATTTTGTGGTGGCCATCTTGGCACTTGCCCTGGTGGACCATGTCTTGGCACTTGCCCCAGTCCCACCCCCTTCTGCCAGAGACCCTCAGATCTGTCCCACTCCTGCCCAGGCCCCCATAGGCACCCTTGATGCGAATGATGTAGAACTGGCCACGCCCACCCATTAGGCCACACCCACTCCATCCATGCCCACCCAGTAGGCTGCACCCACTCTGCTCCCCCACCCGGCCCCCCCAGGGCAACCGCAATGCTGATGCAGCCCTCAGTGAAATTGAGTTTGACACCCCTGATGTAGCCCTCATGATCCTGCATTCATCCTATTTTTTTTCTGTTACACATTCGTATTATGCAAAATGAGTAACTTTTTATATATCCAGAATGGTGACACTCTATATGCCACAAGGCTGGATGGATATCCAGCTTCAATCTTTATCCCAAAGTCTTATATTGCTCTTATTTTCAGAGAGTGTTTGCTTCAGAAAACAAAATTCAGGAGTCAAAACAAACAGCATAACCTGTCAATTATAGTATTTTAAAACGGCGTGTTTGTTTCTTTGTCAAAGAGGGACTAAAATTTTCCCCTTCACTTTGGCAGTCAGTAAACAACAACTGATCATCAGTGCTCTATCTCTGGAGGAAATGAATGCAGAAATCATGTCAGGCTCAAGTAGCCTTTATTTGAGGTCCACTTTTGAGTAGGGTTGCCAGGTCTGCTTCCAAAAAATAGCGGACAAGCGGGGGGGGAGTTAAGTAGTAAAAAAAGTAGACTGTACAGCTTTAGATTACGTGCCATTTCATCATAAAGCTTTTGAATAAAAAAAGTCCACTATTTTGTGAAAAAAAATAGTGAACATAATGTGAAAAAAGTGGACTGTCCACTCAAATAGTGGACACCTGGCAACCCTACTTTTGAGTCACAGTTGTCTGGCCAAATGTGTCATTCTGTGAACACCCGAGATCTGCAAACACTCAATTTTCCATTCCCTGAAGCTAAGGCCAATAAACTCAGCATCTTAGCAGAAGGCTATACAGGTAGTCCTCAACTTCCAACCATTCATTTAGTGACCATTCAAACTTACAACACTGAAGACTTATGACCCTTTTTCTTACTTAGGACTGTTGCAGCATTCCCAGAGGCACGTAATCAAAATTCAGATGCTTGGCAACTGGCATTGTATTTATGATGGTTGCAATACACCTACGACGGGGTCACGCAACCGCCTTTTGCGACAATGCAAGGTCAATGGGAAAGCCAGGTTCACTTACCCACCATGTTACTAACTGCAGCGATTCACTTAACAACTGAGGCGACGAAGGTTGTAAAGTGGGACAAAACTCACCTAACAAGAAATTTGGCGCTTTATTGCAGTCATAAGTTGAGGAGTACCTGTATACCTCTCACATTGGAAATCCTAAGGCTTTAAAATGAAGCCCAGGCTTGCTTTCAAAATGTGAGAAAGGACTACAAAAGTTACCTCCTTGAGTCACCACGGCTGTTGGTGCTGCGGCTGCTAAAGGAACTGGTTTCTTCGTGGGTTCATTAAAGCCCCCGTCTTCCAGAAGGACACTTTTCTCTTCTTTTTTTGCAGAAGCCATTGATGTGGATGTTTCCATCTTAGTCATGCATATTCCAGCTTCCTGGTCCTTAAAAAACAATACAAAAAGTTCAGTGTTTCTTTCTTTTCTTTTCTTTTTTCCATTAACGACACAAAAATTGCTTTTGATGGAAATTCTTTCAACCTATTCCAAAAGATAATTAAAAACAATAACAATAAATATTGGTTTAATTGCTCATCAAGTTTTTGTCAAGCTGTGGTAATTGTATCCAGAAAGGATCTGAAGCCACATTTTTTCTAAACTATGGTTGACTTCAGATTGATATATACATGCACACACACACACACATACACACAAACATACAAACATATGCACATACAGGGTGTACCAAACATTGAACCTGTAGACTAATCACGATGTTTTATCATTTTTTTTTCCAGAAAAAAATGCTATTGTACTTAGGAATGTTTGAAAGTCACGTGTCAAACAAGGAAGTGTTTAGAAGAAAATGGCAAACAATTTAAACATTTAATGTGATTTGTATAATAAACTGTCTACAGAGCCTGACTTTGGATACACCCTGCATGTAGTCATTCATTTTTCATTCTATTAGAGTATCTTCCATACCCTCCCCAAAGGTACAACTTTACAGTGAACTGCTGATTACAATTTGATAAGTAGAACAATTAGGAACTTCAAGAATATTTATATCCTTTTACTGAAAAACAGGAAGGAGACTTGTTCACTACTCTTCTGGAGTATTTTCTTAACCTAAGAAATCAATCCTTTATTCTGAGTATCTAAATGCTGCAGGTGGTCCTCGACATACAACAGTTCATTTAGTGACCCTCTGAAGTTACAACGGCACTGAAAAAAAGTGACTTATAAACGTTCCTCACACTTATGACCACCACAGCATCCCCATGGTCACATGATCAAAATTGGGACACTTGGCAACTGACTCATATGCATGCCGGTTGCAGTGTCCTGGGGTCGTGTGATCCCCTTTTGTGACCATGTGTCAAGCAAAGTCAGTGGAGAGGGCAGATTCACTTAACAACCGTGTTACTAATTTAACAACTGCAGTGGTTCACTTAACAGCCATTGCAGTTCATAAAATGAGGCAAAACTCACTTAGCAATTGTCTCACTTCGCGGCAGAAATTTTGGGCTCAATTGTGGTTGTAAGTCGAGGGCTACCTGTATTCCTGAAGCAAGATCAGGGAACTCCCTTCTATATGCTTTCCACGGAAAAGGGGGAAAGCAATCAGTCCAATGCCCCGTGAAACACGGATACCGAGGCAACGGACTATATACCCCAAGGATTCTGCCACGCTTCATACACCTCAGTGTTGTTTATCCAGCACCTGGAGCATTTTTTCCCTACCTTTGAATAGGCAGCCCTGCCTGCAAAGCATGGGCTTCAACACTGAGCTATGGCCCAACTCTGGTCCTCCTTGGAAAAAAGATGCTTTAATACAGGTGAAAGGGAACAATGTTCTAAAAAAAAAACCCATGCACCATAACTTCTGTTGAGCCACCACTTGGCTGTTGATTGCTATAGACTTCATTGTGCTTCAGTAACTCTTACCTCTGAGCCTTACCTGCTCCTGGCTCAGAAGACTACAGAACAGGACTCTAAACTGACAATGATGCTGATCCCTGCTGTGTTTTTGAGTCTGAAGGGGAAAAGCATCCATCCATGATGATCATGTGGTTGTGGGTAGCATATATTGGGCTACATATTATTGAGAGTGAGCATAATTTATGAAGTAATCCTATTCCAAATGCTTGTCAAATTTTAATTGTATCCCAGCAAAACTGATCGGATTCCATATGTTTCCACGTCCTCATTTTCTAAACAGTTCCCAAATGGTTCACTCTTATTTCAAAAGACACTGGGGGAAAAATCATTACTTTTTTATTATCATTAAAATAGACTATGCATTTTTCCCATGCAAGAAACACACATATGCACATAAGCACATATTGAATGTAGTCTTCACATTGTAGTCTTCAACAAGTCTGTTTTGCAGTTAGAACAAACCAACTGCTCACACTTTGGAATATTACATCTTCTCCGTTTGATAAGTATCTTGCTGGCTCCAGTGTCCAAATAGAAGAAGAAACATTGGCAGTGGTATCTGTGTTTAATGAGGTTCATACATCTCAGAAGGAGCTGGTCTATAACTGGTGAACCTGCTGGGTTCCTGGTAGCTGCTTGAAAAACTAGTTGAGGCTGTGACCGAGGAGACTTTCCCCAAATTTGGTAGTGCGCCGCCTATGGCCTTACCAAGACCACAAAGCCCTGGCTACAGTGGCTCATACTCTTATCACTGCCCTGGATCACTACAACACCCTTTACATGGGACTGACTTTGAATGTAACTCAGAAGGAAAGACACGACTGATTGTTTAAAACAACAACAAATATGGGAAGAAGAGGAGATTTTGTTTATATTTGCAATTTTAAAAGAGGGTGAAAAGTTACTACATTAGCTTATGCTCAGTGTGATGAAAATTGGAAGCCATTTCTTTATTACTGTCTTTGTTTCTTTTTTCTTCTTTTCTTCACTATTTTTCTTTTTTCTGCAAATTCTGAACTTTTCTTTTACTGCCATTTTTCCTTCTAGTTTAGTTTATATTAGGTTTTTTTACTATGTTTCAAAAATAACACCTCAATAAAATTAATACAAAAGAAGTTTCAGTAGAAAGGTGATGCTATCTCTAGCTCAAATGCCAACCATAAGAAAACCAAATACACAGGTATAGTAGAGGTGGTATCTTGCTCAATAGTAGGAACTGTGAGAGGGATGTCAGACTCCTAGTGGACAATCACTTAAATATGAGCCAGCAGTGTGCTGCAGCTGCCAAAAAAGCCAACACAGTGCTAGGCTGCATTAACAGAGGGATAGAATCAAGATCACATGAAGTATTAATACCACTTTACAATGCCTTGGTAAGGCCACACTTGGAATACTGCATCCAATTTTGGTCACCATGATGTAAAAAAGATGTTGAGACTCTAGAAAGAGTACAGAGAAGAGCAACAAAGATGATTACGGGACTGGAGGCTAAAACATATAAGGAACGGTTGCTGGCATTGGGTATGTCTAGTTTAATGAAGAGAAGGACGAGGGGAGACATGATAGCAGTCTTCCAATATCTCAGGGGCTGCCACAAAGAAGAGGGAGTCAAGCTATTCTCCAAAGCGCCTGAAGGCAGGACAAGAAGCAACGGATGGAAACTAATCAAAGAGAGAAGCAACTTAGAAATTTCCTGACAGTGAGAACAATTAATCAGTGCCTACCTCCAGAAGCTGTGAATGCTCCAACACTGTAAGTTTTTAAGAAGAGACTGGACAGCCATTTGTCTGAAATAGTACAGGGTTTCCTGTCTGAGCAGGGGGTTGGACTAGATGACCTCCAAGGTCCCTTCTGTATTATTATTATTATTATTATTATTATTATTATTATTATTATTAGTAGTAGTAGTAGTAGTAGTAGTAATATTATATTATTATTACTATTACTACTACTACTACTACTACTACTATTATTATTATTATTATTATTATTATTATTATTATTATTATTATTATTATTATTATTATTATTATTATTATTATTATTATTATTATTATTATTATTATTATTATTATTATTATTATTATTATTATTATAGAGGGGTTGAAAGCTCACAAAGCCCCCTGGAGACTCAGACTCAGCATCTGCTCTGGAGCTGAAATTGGATCCCATCCCTTCTTACTCTTCAGATCCTGAACAGGTTCCACTGACTCTAACTTCCAAGTAGCCTCAGTGCTACCATATGGTGGCACAGTTTACTAAGCATTGCAGGAGTGTTGAGCCTGGGCAAGAATAGATGAGCACCAGCTGAAAGCTAACAAGTACCAGCTGAGCCCAGGAGAAAATTCATAAAGAAGACACACATGGACAGCAGGCAGCTCACTAGAAACAACATACATGGCCATTTCCTACATTCAGAAACATTAACTTTGATTTGACTGTTGGGGCTTCTTAACCATAGTTTTGACATAATCCCTTCAAATATAGTATTATACCAAAACAACTAATTTACAGGTTGGATTTGAAATACTCTTCTACCTCAAAATATTTGTTTGTGTTTGTGTGTGGGACTGTGTGTGTGTGCCTTTAGTTATAGCCTTAGAAACCTTTTTTTTTCATTTTTGCCTGTCTTCACATCTATGAGACAGGAACTGGTTTAGCAAGACCTTGTAACTATTTTTCCCAGTAACCTTGCCAAGTTCTGAAGGTGGACACTGGATGTGGAGCATAAAGTCTGTACCAGCTGATTCATCAAGAGTTGGCATATTAAGAAAAAAGAAACATCTTGGCCTCCAGCACTTAGAACTACTCTTAAGTACAGCAACTATAAAGAATGCAGCAAAAATCAAGAAATCAACTTGATGTGGACTGCAGTTAGATATAGAGGAAGTGGTCTTGATTGTTGTGCAGATATAGCTATATGATATGCTTTCCAGCTTAGGGATGCTAGGAACATAGTAACAGCACATAAAACAGCATCCAGGGAAGTCTCAAGAATTTAAATGGATTCTTCCCATACATTAGGGTAGCAGTCTAAGCCATAGGACTGGATACCGCCTATGAATTCAGTTTTATGGCACTGATGAAGTTACTTGCTTGGGTAATGAAACTTCTGCAAGCAAAGTCAGAGAATATCAAGAGCTCCACAGTTGAACCCTGAGCTAAAACACTCACCAGTGTCACGTATATAAAGGTGCCATTTGCTTGATGTGGGTGTCATTTTGGCATCAAGCATTTTTGTTGCTCTTGTTGATTGGGGAGACTCTTTCAATGTATGAAGCAACCTTAAACTGAACCAAATTATCCCTCCATCTAGCCCAGTGTTTCTCAACCTTGATAATTTTAAGGCATGTGGACTTCAACTCCCAGAATTCCACAGCCAGCATTGCTGGCTATGGAATTCTGGGAGTTGAAGTCTACATGCCTTTAAATTGTCAAGGTTGAGAAACACTGATCTAGCCCCACTGATTAAT